ATGGCAAAGAGCTGTCTTTTCTCAACTCCCTGCTGAAGTTCATGCCTTCAATGAAGTGCAAGTCTCAGAACAATAAGCTGCAGCAGTTCACCAGAGTAGGCAAACGCTATCTGCCATTCAGCATAAGCTAATCATGTTTTATGGTAGCACCATGTTCGATGCAAGCGTTTGAGGAGGTATCCCGGACACATTTGGTTTTATTATCTGCATCACGCCAAAAAAGTCCAGAGAACAAAAAACGAAGAGTCAGAGCATCATTTTGTTCAGAAATCTGCTGGACACCGAACAATTTTATCCTATGATCTATAGAGAGTTTAACTGGCTTAATCATGCTACACATCACGGTGATTACTGCAATGAGACATATGAAAATAACCTTTGTATCTACACACAGTTCTTATTTCTTCCTCTACGAACAGGGAGGCAGCGTGCAGAAAATACCTTCTGTATGCCAGTGGCACAAAGGTGATCCTCATAATCTAATAAGGCAAATAACTCCCAGTTGCAATATAGTACCAATGATGTTAAAAAAAACACTGAAAGAACAAAACCCATTCTCATGACCCCAAAACACAGAGCAGTGTCTAGTCTGATACTAGCTCTGGCAAGCACAAAGGGCAAGAGCCTAGGATTTTAACCAGGCAAGCACGCAGCCAGCTGCTGGCATATTGCAACTCCATGACTCTAAGCCAGAGCTGGTACCCATGCGTGCTACAGCTGGAGGGGAATTTTTCTCCAGGAACTTGTCTGGTGTTTGAACCAAGCCCTTGGCCTCCTTTGCAATCTGTGGCAGAGATGCACAGCTACATGTGTCAAGGAGCATCGCTCTGTGGGTTCTGAAGCTGCCAGTTATCATATCATTCAATGTCCTCCAGTTCCTCTGCTAGGTAATTTCAGCAATCACTCCCCCTTCACCTTCTCCACATTGCTCATGACTGACAGCAAATGCTCCTGGAAGAGATATCACTGGGGAAGGATGCTCAGGCAGTCCTTGTACCCAATCCGTCCCATCATCCTGACATCTCTGCTAGCTTTCTGACCTCCTCTAATTCCACCGTATCCTTTGAGGAGGGCAGTCTCCACCGCACAAAGCTCCCCATGGTTTTATACAGGGAAGCACTGACCACCTTTGCTCTTCATTGCTAGCACTGCTACAGCACAAGTCAGGGTTTCACTGAGTGACTGTAGCTCTGAAATTCAGTAGCAATATGCACTGGAAGTTATCAGTGCTTATTTGTAGCATCAGCTTTGCCCAGCTCTATTACACATTTATTTTCCAATTCCTGGAACAGATACTGATGCTTAGAGCAGACCAGCTACTGAGAAAGTCCAGGACAGGGAGTGTCATACTTCAGAGCAGGTAGGACTTCGAGCAGCTCTAGCATATCTATGTGACGCCATTAAAAAACACACCATGTGTTCTATCTGTATGCGAAGGAGGACAACAGCATTGGAAGACTCAATAAAATTAAGGACATTATGAACATGAGAGAAGACAGTCATCTTTAAATCCTGAAACATCAGGGGAAACTTATTTTACTTTATAACAGCTTCATATTTTCTGTATTTAACTTCTTTCAATACCTTTCCCCGCTACATTGCTCAGTGCAGTTCTGGCCTCTGAATTTCACATCAGGCACTCCCAGTCCAGGTCCCACACTGAGCAGATTGCGTTAACATCCACCAGGAAGTAAAAAAAATTTATGGAAAGCTTCAACCTGTTACGATAACTGGCAATGCTGCTTAACACAGCGCAGGCATTTGAATGTGAGGTTAAATATCCTTAGAGGAAGTGTTTTATGCAAGCAGATGTGTAAGCTGAGCTCCAGCGTTAACCCTTGCCACACAGGATTGTTTGAATCTATTTCTTTAGATCTTTTAATAAAAGCTACTACGTCCAGGCTGGAAATGAAGGGTAGAAAGGAGGTTTTGCAGTCACATCAGGAACACTCAGACATTGGAAAGTGGCTTCAAAGCACTGAAAGAGCTGGAAGGCCAAAGCAGCAGAAAAGCAGGTGGCAGGATAAAGTGCTACACCCTGTGAGACAGATAAGGACTCCAGCCTGATGCTATCCAACGGCTGGTGGGGGGAGAACATGCAAGGCCATTAAGGGAAGGGAGCCTTAATACACTTAAATTATCTGCTCCCTATTAGGTACCAGCAAATGAGTCATATTGGCGGCTCCAGCTGACACTTCTTCTTCCCCTCCTCTTGATAAGGACGGAACTCCTAGCCAGATGCTCAGTTTGAGGACACAGAGCCAGACTAAGGGAAGCTCCAGCCCAAATACATGAGAAAGTTAGATGCTTTAAACACCAAAAAACCTAAGGAGGGAGGCATGGGAATGCCATCCTCTACAGATACCACAACCTCCATCACAATCTTGGAAGTGCACCATTTCAAGGTAGTTTTGCCATGCAGCATGGAGGGGTGTAAGTCCATCCAGGGAGCGATGACCCACAGACTTCCTAACAACACCTGTGCTCTCCCCACTGACGTAGGGTAACAATATTGGGGCAACGGTGCTCTTCCAAGCTTGTTTCAAGGCAGAGAAGGACATTGCCAACACCCTCCATGTATGTGGAGCCATAACCCAGCCTATTATGGTCTGGTTCATAAGGGTGACGACTAAATAGAAGATAATTTTGGTAATGAAATTCCTCAGCTAAAAAAAAAAACAGGATTAGCAAAACCCTAGCCTGAGATGTCAGGCCAGCAGCCAAAGGTAAATGAACTAATTAATTCTCCAGTCCATCCTCTTTAGAGCACGTGCTATGGGGAGACTCTGAACATAAGGGGGTGCAAATGGGCCCAGCTTCTGAACTCCAAACCCTTCTTAAAGATGCAGCATGAGATGCTTGCTTTGCCAGCTGTGATGGCAAAGCAAATCCCCAAAATCTCTCCATCAGTTTGCTCCAGACTGAGATCTGCCCCTCGGTTTTGCTGTCACACTGTCCAAGGTGTAATGTTTTTTTCCTCCTCTTTCTGCAAGGCAGTCCTGGTATTAAAACAGAATAGCAAAAGCAGGACTGCTCACAGGAGAAAGTGAACCTGGACAGTAAAACAGGCCATGAATAAAAGCCGCATCTTATCTCAGTAAGACAAAAGATCTGTAACACAGCTCAGATGATCTAACCGTGCTAACAAAAGCCTTTCAAGTTCAGGCAAAGCTTTTGATGGAGCAGCGATTAAGTTCATGCCTCAGTTTTGGGTAGTTCCACTAACAATTATAAACTACATATTCTAAATGAGAAGTGATGCATTAAGTCACCGGCATTCATGTGGGAAACCTAACAGAGTGGATTTCTCAAGCCCTGGCAGTAAGATGTGTCGAATATACAGACAGATTGCAGACCAGCAGAAGAGCCCAAACTGATCGATCTCATATGCCCTATTCCTACAGGTCAAAGATAAGAGCCACAGGTACAAACCTCTCATGAATGACATGAATCAAAAATGCTTTGACCCTTCCTTCTAGCTTGCTGCTATATAGACAATACATTCTGACGACAGATCAGGGCTGGGTAACAGAGCAAATGTCCAACTAGTTGTCCTAAAGACCAAGCAGACCTCACCCCAGACAGCACAGCATCTGCAGAGAGACCAGGTCCCACAGGCAGCTGAAGCATTTCACATTGATTTTGCAGTGCCACATTTGCTGTCCCTTCTAGAGCACGTGTCTCCGAATAACAGCTCCTACTGTGGGTCCTACACAGGGTCTACTCTTAGCCATGCCCTCCAGATCCAGCACTATCCTAGTCCAATACTCACATGATGATTGTGTTATTTGGGAAGCAGAGACAAAATCAGTACTAACAGCAGATGCTGTTACCATCTTTACTTATTTTATTGTTTTACAGCAGAGGTCCTGGCTTCAAACTGAAGCCTGGGAGTCAGCTGGGTGGTTCTTGCTTTTGGGGGGCACCTTCCCGGATCTGATCAGCCTGCTTCAACTTGTCAATGTACAAATAAGCAGCTTTTCTTCTACTTTGGGGCTTGCTGCTGAGATGCGCTGAATCTTCACGAGACCTCTGCGTGAATCATGCTGACATCTGACTTCTGGACACTGCAATTTCTTTGGGTAGCACATGAAAACACAGATTTCTCTGAAAATCTCTTTGGTGCAGCAGCGTATCAAGGGATGATACAAGTGATGTACAGGACCTAACCCTCCTAACTCTTCCCGCCCCTAAGCAGGGAGAAAAGAGGCGTTCCTCAGGGGTCTGTTCTGGGCCCAGTGCTGTTTAACATCTTTGTCAGCGACATGGACGGTGGCATCGAGCGCACCCTCATCAAGTCTGCCGATGACTCTAAGCTGCGTGGTGTGGTGGACTCACTTGAAGGAAGGGAGGTCATCCAGAGAGACCTTGACAGGCTTGAGCAGTGGGCCAATGCAAACTGCACGAGGTTCAACAAGGTAAAGCGCAAGGTCCTCCATCTAGGTCAGGCCAATCCCATGCACAAGTACAAACTGCATAGAGAGTGGCTTGAGAGTAGCCCTGAAGAGAAGGGCTTGGGGGCGCTGATTGACAAGAGGCTCAACATGAGCTGGCAGTGCACTCATGCAGCCCTGAAAGCCAACCGTAACCTGGGATGCATCAAGAGGGGTGTGGGCAGCAGATCAAGAGAGGCGATTCTACCCCTTTACTCTGCTCTTCTGAGACTCCACCTTGAATACTGTGTCCAGTTCTGATGTCCCCACTGTAACAGGGACATAGATCTGTTGGAACGAGTCCAGAGGAAGGCCACAAAGATGATCCAGGTGCTGGAGCATCTCTGATATGAGGATAGGCTGAGGGCACTGGGATTGTTCAGCCTGGAGAAGAGAAGATTCTGGGGGGACCTTATAGCTGCCCTCCAATACCTGAAGGGAACCTACAGGAAGGCTGGTGAGAGACTTTTTACAAGAACGTCCAGCAACAGGACAAGAGGAAACGAAGGAAACTGAAGGAGAGTAGGTTTAGACTAGATCTTAGGAAGAAGTTCTTCAGTACGAGGATGGTGAGACACTGGAATAGATTGCCCAGAGAGGTTGTGCATGCCCCCTCCCTGGAGGTGTTCGAGGCCAGGTTAGATGAGGCCTTGAGCAACCTAGTCTAGTTGACAGGTGCCCCTGCCTACGGCAGGGAGGTTGGATTAGATGATCTCTAAGGTGCCTTCCAACCTAAGCCATTCTATGATTCTTATTAAATTATAATTGAACACACTTTCGAAAATGCCAGATAATGTTTGCATTAGAGCAGAAAGATCTGGGCTCCAGTCTACAGCTCTGCATTAAAATAAGCCCCTGGTCTATCCAGAAATTAATGCTTATTTTAGAAAACCCTCCAACCTACTGGAACTGGAATAATTTTACATTAGTACCTATTTAATTGCTTTACTAAATAAGGGTGCCAAACACCAGGGAAAATGAGACATTTGAAGAGGCTTATTTACCCCTAACATGGCTGATTTCAGGATTTCGGGTAAATACAAGAAATACCCACTGGTTGTAAGTCCCTGAGTCAATACAAACTGGCAGTCCGTAGGCTCAGCTGGCGATGTCTTTTCTACAGTGAAGTTTACAGCCATGGCTTATCACAGCACTAGATTTGACAGGTTAAATCCCATTTTTCCTGAGCAGTGAGCACCTACTGACATCACACGATTTTACAGCTCAGTGAGCTTGTTTCTCAGGCTATTTTACGTAACGCTGGTTCTCCTATCAGCTTGGGGTGGAGATGCAGGACCTCGTAACAGCAGAAGTCACGCTATAAAACTTCAGGTGTGCTCCAGCTCCCAAGGCAGCACAAGAATTGACTTGGCAGATATCCGGGAGCTGCACAACAGAGCTTGGCATTGCACGAAAGGCAGTGAAAGCCCGTAAGCAGGCAAGAGTCCGGCCCAGGGACAGAGCAGGCAAGATCCCATGCTGTTTGTTGGTACCGTACCCCTGCTAGTAGTTTGAGCCACTTTGGAAACCACAGCTCTTACAGACCACCTAACCTGCAGCCTGTCCAAAAAAACGGCCATGAGTTAACCCTGTTTCATCTTATTACTCTGGGCCAGACGCTGAGTTTTGTGTTCATCTTCCCAATTCAGCTCCTCTGCGGGCTGGAATCCAACTGTGCTGCTCCCACGTGCTTAAAAAAAGGAATATCCCCAGGGCTATCTGTATTTGCAGCAAGAAATATCAACCCTAAGCAGTGAGCTTGATATTTGCAGAAAACAGCTTCCGTATGTACATGCCATCTCCTCCCTGAACAATCAGTCCTCTGTCTGGTGCTGCAGCACAATACAAGAGCAGCTTAGAGTGAAAACACAACACCTGAAAAAAAGCAATTCTTTGTGGAATTGGAAAAAAAATATTTTCCCCCTTGTTTATCAGTGTGTGACTTTGTTCCTCCTGTGTTACTAAAATAATTCACTAGTGCTTAACTTCTCCCAAACCACATAAAAAAAAAGCCAAAAAGCAGAGGGCACATCGTTGTGGTTCATCTTCGCAGGACAAAACTGTTATCAGAGACTTGTTTGCTCTTATTTCAGACACACTGTTTCTCCTTCCCCCCAGCGATAATTAACAACACATCTGTGCAATAAAAACATCTGGTATTTGAGCAAACAGGAGTTCTTGAAGCTATTGTTACTTTTTGCCAGTCACTATAACACAGCTTCTATAAGGTCCTCAGACCTAATTGCTGTTATCAGTACATATGGCTCATTGCCCAAGTATAGCGTGCTACTTAATCAACCAATATTAGCAAAAAATTTACCAGCATACTAAAAAAAACAGCCACTCAATCAACAGGTGTTGCTTTTTCCATAGTTAAAACAGAATTTGTCTGTAAACTGACCTTTTCAGAAGTGAAATCTCTCATGTAAAGCCTGTGCTTTGGAACAATACATTAGTCAGAGATCCAATACTGCTAAAATTTTGAGAAACATGAAGAATCACCACCAAGGAAACAGGATCAGCATTTGGGCACCAGCCAAATAAACACAAGAGCCATATACCTGGAAGGATCCACTACAGCTTTGAACCTCAAAGGAGAGCTTGGATTACAAAGCAATTCAACATCTCCATGAGGATCTTGCTATCATGACATTTGCTGTTAGGGGGGCCTTTGAAAATGCAATACAGCGATTCCTGTTATGTCACTATAAGGATCCAAACTTATCTTCAGCTGCCAATTATGCTCATGTTCATGAAAGTGGGAGTTTCTGTCCCTGCCCTTGGTTTCTCTCCACCTTTGGAGCATTATCTCTGCTCCTGCAAATCAATAAAACATCCCTGATGTAATGCTGACACCAAACTACCTGTTTACTGAGACAGATCATAAGCAAGCTGGTTAATCTTCACTCTGTTGAGAAGTGGCACATCATATGGATGCAATAACCAAACCTTAGAATGAAAGATTATGCAGATTAATCTAAGTTTACATAGATTCTGAGCAAGCATCTACAAAGATATTATCAGTCGTTATACGTTATAACCCTTTGGTTACCTGAAGCAATTTCCTGATTGATTTATCATCCCTTATGCCTGATGCACAGATGATTTTAATTTCAGTTCTAAATACACCCCAAATTTTCAGCAAATGCTATTTACATCAGCCAACCTGTCTTAAGCACCCTCAAGTTCACTACCACAGCCATCCAATTCCTTCAGCGGAAGAGGAGAAATGCAAGTCAGGATCAAGATCATCACAAGGTGACGCTTCTGATCTACAGCAACTACCCCAAAACCACATATTGGAAGCTAAGAGGCATGTAATTAAAAACACCGCCTGCTTCCTCCACCTCATTTAAAAAACAACCATCATTTGTTTAGGATGACTTAAGAGCCCAATGCAGTGCGCTGGGCTCAAGTCAGGCTAAACAAGCAATGCATTAGCGTAGCCATCTGTTTGGGTGACCAGCTGCAAGACATGTGGTTAGAAGACCAACGGACCACAAAAAATCAGAGGCTGCCAGGCCGGTTTAGCAGCTGAGAGGCAGCAGCCAGATGGCCAGTCGGCACACCCCACTCTTCACCAGCCACTGTGTCAAACACATGGGATCAGGGAGCGGGTGATGGGGCTGAAACTAAGGCACCAACATTAGTGAGGGACGTGGAACAGAGAAGATGTGGCTGAGTGCTGGGAAAGTCTCACTCATTACTTTAATTGGGCACCATAGCTTATGAACAAGAAATTGAGAGCAAGACTTAGCAGTTAAGAAGATTTTTTCACCTTAGGCAAGACATTCAGTGCTCAGAACAGTCTTCATTGTTGGGATTGTTGAAAATTTGCATTTTTGGCTCTCCAGTGTATTCCCTTTGACTTTATGCAAATAAAAATAATGCTAACAGTTACATCTTCTGAGTCAGAAGCTTCATGTAAGGCAGCTTGTCGCCTGGGAAATGAGACAAGCACATGCATTTCTCAAGCCAGGGTAAGTTTTTATGTATTTATATTCCAGTGGTGAAATGCTAGTCTGGATAAGGCAGGCCACTAAAACGGTTGCTTCTTACCTAGTCTCAGTTCTCCAAAGTTCCCGCATCCAATCTTCTTGCCCACTCTGAAGTTGGGTCCCACCATAAGAACGCCAGAAGATGCTGACGAGCTTGGTCGAGAACCGTGCCCACTCCTCCCTGGCATTCCTTTCGTCGTCCGCTGCCTTTCATCCTTTTCCCTACTAGGATGGTCCATGATCTTAGTGTAATATCTCTGCCAGCAAGCTGGCAGAAAGAAATTGGAGTACGCACTCTTCTCCTTAGATTAGAAATATATATCCAAAAGTATCTGAGTCAGGGTCCAAGAGAGTCATGGAAACGCATGGAGTTCTTTTGGCACTGTATCCAGTTTCCTAATGCATCTTGATAATGTACCAAGGGGTCGATTATGTTCTTGAGAACTTGATAAAGGCAGGTTGCTTTTGGTTTCTTACCTGGGAAAAAGAAAAACGATATATGAAATAAAAAGCATTATTTTAAAACACTAAGCAAGAAATGTACAACAGGACCAACGTCCACAACTTTCCCAGCCTTGAGGAAACGAACAGCTATACAGGAACTTTATGATTTTCTTAACCATTTTCTGATAGAAAAACCCAGCATGACAAAGAGATCTAAGTGCTGCCCATCCAATACTTGCTACTGGAGTTATCAGTTACTCACACCACACATACTAACAAAAGCAACTTCAGTTACACCAGCACATCAGATGGAAACTGTGAGGAGATCGCATCCCGTGTTTAAAGCAACTGTGAAGTGTAAAGTTTGTTTTCCTCTCACTTCATAGATCTATAAAATAATACATAGAAGCCAGACAAAAGATAAAAAGTGGCAAATGGAAGATGCCAAGAGAAGAAAATATTGAAGCACTTAGGAAGTCAAATTCTTCTTCATTTTACAACTTTTAAAGTTGACTTTGGATGAATTTGCTAATTGAAATGGTTGTCTTAGAGAGATTACTAAAATTAGCAGCCAAAGCAAGATTTATTATTTAAAAAAAAAAAAGAGCTTTCAGGAAATTTCTAGCTATCAACATACAGTTCACATTACTAACATGATTTAGTTGCCAAAAAAATGAGGTTTTGGAAAAAACCAGACATTCTAATGGAATCGGGTGAGGGACTCAAGGGCCGAGATCTTCTCCAGCAGCCTGCATTCATGACTGGCAAATGAAAGCGTGACAGTTCTCCCACAGAAAGTGAAGTACACCTTCCTCCCACATGTCCTACTTTGTCACCACCATAACCCCGAGCGCAGGCAACTCCGGACTATTCCGGACAGCACACTGGTGCACCTCACGAGCATCAGTCTGCTAACTGTCAAAGAGAACGGGAAAAACAGACGCTTCCCAACCCATGCAGGCCAAGGGGTTCCTCTGTGCCCATGGACCAGCCTAAAAAAAGACAGGCAGGAATTCTACAGACCCAGGAGGTCCTGCTCCACAAAGGCAGTCCAGGGAGTGCAGGGAAGATTGACATCTCACCATGAGACCTTTCCTAGGATGTGAACTCCCACTGGATCATTAATGCAGCCGAATTATTCGGGTTGGCCCCACTGTGGTCAGAAGAAATTTCTGCCATTCAGACATGGAACTCTGAAGTCTCTGTAGCAAGAGACCATCGTGGCCTGCTGGGACAGTGCAGAGGTGCCGGTGCTGGTGTGGGAGCTTCTCCTCACTTCTCAAGCAATCAGCAGGACGAAGGGAAAGGTTGCAGCATGCTTTGTCTGTACAGTCACCGCATCAGGAGCCGGTATTAGGCAGCAGATGTGGACGCTCTGGAGATGCTTGTGGTGCAGTTCTTAAGCAAGAACTGGAACAAGCATACCTGGAGCTATCCCCCACATCCTGGGACAGATACATACTGCATTGTACTCCTTCAGGGCGACACTGTTGCATTCACCATTTTCCAGCAAATACCTCTAAAGTCAGCACAAAAGTACTGAATGAAACCGCCTAAACAAGAGTCAACATGGAAGGACATCAGCAATCAAACACTACCAGATACACCCAGAAACACAACCATATTTACAATCAGCCCAGTCCTCCCGTAGCAAGGATTTAGCACGGGCTTCTTCTGTTCGTTTCATGAGACGATGAACCTACTTCCAGTTATCCAAAAATAAAAGACAAGAGTTATTACCCATCCACAAACCAGTGGCACGGAACAAAAGCATTAGCCCTTTTGAAATAGAGGTATGCTTTCCCCAGCCTTCAACTGTTGGTATGCTTTTGTTTCTGGAATCTTTTGTTTTGATCTAAGGCATCTGTATACAAGGCAGAAGTCATCTGCACTAGATCCAAAAAGTGCAGGTAGCTACCAGCTGGAAATCCCAGTTCCTGAATACTGAACTAGTCTTTAGCACAACTCTGACCTTTTCTATCCATTTCCATTTGCAGTTCTGTGTGTTTGCACAAAAGAGGACACAGCTCTCCACAGCTTGAGTTTCGTCCCTAAATTTTTTTTAAAAAATACTTCAGCAAAAAAGCAAAGATTACATACAGAGAATGCACAATTTCAACACCACTTTACAACTACTTTCTGCTGCTTTTGTCCATGTATTATTGCAGGCTTCTACATCAGACAGGGAGTTTTCAGGACTCTAAACAGACTCCACTTCCATAGGAAGGGTGCTGTGCGCCTGGAAGGCTGTGAGGAACTAATAATAGTGTAAAGAAACATCCATACAGGTGAATGGATGCTTTATGCAGCATGACAATCCCACAAAACCACCCATCTTTAACAGTTTACACTAATGCTTAGAACCTATCTCAGGTTGCACAGGTTACAGCCTGTGACTCAGCATCCCTCTTTTCTAGAGTGAAAGGCAGATGAATTCTTGTCATGGCTCTGCACAAAGGTGGATCTCTGCAGAAAGCATCATAGAGCGTGTTTGCAGCAAATCCAGGAGGTGTGAAAATCATCAGGTCATCCGAGAACCACTGTATCACATCCACTGCAGCGTCAAGCTCCCAATAGGGTGCTACGTAATGTGTGAAACTCCCTTCGTGATTAAGCACCGCTGACTTAGCTAGGGACAGAAGAGTTGGAGATGTTCACATACAAGAAATTCAGTATTTGGTAGTACCAAGCTTTACTTGTGCCTCAAATTAATTCAAGATTTAATACTTGAAACTGAATATGGATAAGCAGGAAGCACCCATTACAGGCAAACAGGATTAACTGGTTTTTCATCATAAGCTTCCCAACATACTTTTAGCTGCTGCTTTCATTTTGAGGGGGTGAGTTAGCGCTGCTTCTCAAAGCTGTTTGCGTAGATGCAAGCACAGTTGTATTTGCTTTGTGAAACCAGCTTGCAGAAGCCATGACAATGCTCTTCCAGATATCAGAATGGTACTTTGATTGGACCCCACCCCAGCCTGTCCTGGGAGGAGAGACTTGCTTCAAAACAAACAGCATGAAAAAGGACAGTCATGGAGACTAAGGAAGCTTAAGCCTGAACAGAAATCAAATGTGAGGATGATGACGGAGCACTTCTAGGGCTGAATCACAAAGAAAGATGAGCAGAACAGAGGAATTCTATGAATAAAAAAATGGAGCGCTTTGGAAAACAGACTTGATCCCATCAAAACCAGAGAAGATTTGTTTCCCCTGGAGACCAAAGTCATTATTTTCATTGGGGTTGGATAATCCATGAGCAAAAACTACAGACCTCACAAAAGGGTAACAGAAAGAAGTTTCTAGCAAGAGCACAAACTCTGCCCAGTTTATGCTTGGAAAAAATGACACATGGCACTGTGTGAGATTCGAAGAACAGCACATCTCTGTAGACTGAGAAGATACTACCATGAAGGATTACATGGAAGAGGGGCTAAAAACCCTAAAAGAAAGAGACAAAATCCAGATGACAGGGACTGACTCCAGCACAGGAAGGAGGAACGATACAATTTTTATAAGTTGCAGATTTTTTTTTTTCCTTCTTGCTCATCTAGCTAACAGTTACATGGCCAGTAGAGAGTGTAAGAAGAGTCACTATAAGCTAAAATCACTGGAAAGGGTTTCTTAAAGACCCTGAGGAACATGAAGCGGGCCAGGAAGAGACAGGCTGTTTAAGAACACACTACAGTGTTTTCCTGCATGATGCGAGAAGGTGTTTGACATCTCCCTTCTGCTATGAACTACTACCAGCTTTCGACCTGCAGAGTTGATGGATCCAGATAGTGAGGTGGTTTTGCAGCAGAACCTGATGCCTAGGTGCAGGTATTTTCAAAATTATTTGGCAACCTGCTGGCACAAGACAGCATCATTACAGAAAAGCATTTTACGAGCTATGATAAAATTGGGCTGAAAGCCACCAAAAGGTAAAAGCACACAATTTAACACACTTCAAACAGCTGATACGAGTTGGCCTTGACCTTCAGTGATTGCAGTGCAGGCAGTGCTGTCAGTGCTCAACAACATGAGTACATCACTCCTCTAAGGGCTGTTCAAGCCTCTGCCAAACACAAGCAGTCCTGAGCCTGGGTACAGCTTCCCCCTCCTCCAGACTAAAGCCTGAACTCAGCTTAAGCCCTGTGTGTCAACTTTCAGGTCTGACATCAGAAACACACTGCTTAGTTTGACCCTTACACCATCTTGCTCAGTGCATCTTTGATGGGACAAGCAACTCCATTTTTCTCAGGCAGATTAAGTACAGAGCTCCACCACACATTTTCCGGCTAGTGAAATAAGATGTTAATGGTTATAAGCTACTACGCCTCCATCCTTCCCCCTTCCCCGTCTGTAAAAGGTCTCCCCAGGGAGAAGGATGGAAAGGTCACGCCTGACAGTCTGCAAACACTAAACATCCTCTCTCCCAGCTGAAAGCCTCCTGCAAACAGGAATTCAGATCAGCAATGAGTGAACCAAGCGTTTGATAAACTCTTTATTGCGGCCAACCCTATGAGCAGATCCCAGCTGTCAGTACACCAAATTGCACAAAGATATTACACTATTGTTACTACATATTAAAAACAACTGTAACAAATATGCCATCAAATACGGCTTTTGAGGACTAACAAAGTGCTTGGCTTTGGAAGAGGACTGCCAGAAGAATGAAGACTAGACTGTAATTTGAAGTCAGTTGCATTAATATTTAAAGACTACTCAGAACGCCAGGACTATTTCCTGCCACAATTCAAACTTTCTCATAACGATTTTCCTTCCTACCTTTCCACCCACTCAGCAAGATTAAATG